GTAATCATTTATCGTATCTACATCATCGTTTCTGGACTCCAGTATGGCACGGTCTTGGAAAAATTTAGGATCAGTCTCTTCGAAACAAACTCCCATAAATTTCTTGACGATCGTTTTTATAGGATCTTACAGTCTTTAATCAACAGATCATCAGGAATATCAATCACGGCTTCACCACTTCCATCGTCATTTATCGTTCCATCACCAATGTCTAAGATCCACTTTGTAAAGGCAGCTCGTTCAAGCATCGCACGGCTATTATCTCCAGCTATAAGTCGCATGTTCTGTGTAAGTCTCAACACTCTACATTTGTACCACAGAGGTGACAAATTCAAAGTGGCCATAAATATCTCTGTCTTCCCGGCATTTGGAATCACTGGCAATATTTTCCTGAAATCCCCTCCTAAAACAATGACCTTGTCACCAAAGGGCTTATCAACTTCTAATATATCACGCATCGTTCTATCTAGAGTCTCGAAACAGTCTTTACTCATCATCAACGCCTCATCCCATATAATGAGTTTAGCAATCCTTATCAGGTCGGCAAGATTCGACTCCTTCTTGATTGAACAGAAGGTAAACTTATTAACCACGATAGGGATTGCAAATCTTGAATGCGCAGTTCGTCCTCCTTCTAATAACAACGCAGCAATCCCGCTCGATGCAACCTTAAGAACAACATCACCTTGGGAACGTAGAGCAGAGCCTAATAGACTCCACAAATAATTTTTACCAGTACCTCCAGAACCACAAACAAAGAACATACCTCCTTTGTTCTTATTTACTGCTTCTAGGATCTCATCATAAACACTTCTCTGTTCGCTGGTTACAGTGGCTAACATCTGCTCGTTTCTAACTCTAAGAGTTTCGCGATTGTAATTCCTCTCATCCCGAATAAGAGGATTATCACGTGACTCCAGAGTAATATCTTCAGGAACCGGCATAGGTGTGAATCTTTTAAGGATCTCCCACTTACACGTAAAAGAAGTTCTATTTCGACCAGAGTAAAGTCTTTAACTTGCTCCTGAGATAGACTAACAGCTACACAATTTCAAAAAAAATACAAAAGATAAATTGGCTATCAATATCTTAAAGATATATAAAAACAACAACGCAAACAATAACTATACGACTTACTTTGATCCCTGGCAGCCTTTCTGTAATTATATATGATGTCATCTGATTATACCTGCCATGTAGCATCCCAAACTCTAAAAGGAATGGTTATACTATGAGTAGTGAGCAGGATCACAAAAAGACGACGGAGATAATTGGCAGAAAGCCACAATCCGGCCTCATTGATGGCCTCAATATATTCTTTGTCATCATTCAATAATCCATACGCATAGCAAGCGTCTTTGAACGAAGAATGTGGACTTTTTTGACCGTTTTTATATCGTCAAAACTACGTGGTCATTTGACTAAATTAAACAGAAGCCTTAAATAATACGCTTCACCTGGTACGTACGTGATTCTACCAAGAGCAACTCTCCTTGATCGTGGCGTCCATATCCTGTTTGGGTTATTCCACACAAATCTCGTAGGAAGTTGCGCATAAGTTAACGTCCTCGCCAGTTCATACTTATCGTTGCACTCCATCCAAGCAATGAATTTTGACGTACCAACTGAGACACGATTAATAACCTCGTCACCTGGATCATCCTCGTTGTATATGACCATTTGCTGGTTCGGTAAATGAAAGGGTAGTTTAACTACAAAAACCGTGCGATGGTGAGTATGATTACCAAAAATTCTCCACGTAGACTCCGAAGGTGCTACATACCTATATAGAAAGACATTATTAAATAATGGAAGATTGGAATTTCAAAGATATAAATTATGTGAACAAACTGTTTAAAACATACCTACAGTTGAAGTGTTTCTTAATCTCGTTTTCTTTATTATCAGTCTTGATAGTTGCACGGATGTAGTCAGCACCTTTATGAATATATTTGAATAGATACTTTACTGATCGAGATTGTACACACGATTCGACGTTGATATGAGCCCTATAAAGCAGTGTGAGGCTCCTATTATAAGGAACCACAAATCCATTATCACATTTAATACCCTTTTTAACGATAACTTTCTTGTCATTACGTCGCCTGTATATAGGATATCCAACATCATCTATTTTAGTGATCGGACTGAAAGGTTTTGGAAAATACTTTGTACATTTTCCTTCAGCCATGCAAACCCTATCCTTATTCAAAGCACCACATGGTCCATGCATCATGACATCTCCTACTATCTCATACAGCGCTGGATCAATATCCTTGTCAGGAATCTCAGCACATATTATCTTATCAATGTCATCACCAGTTGGTAGCTTGTGACCAGCCTCTAAAAAAAGAACGATGTGTGCATGAGGTAGTCCCCGTTTTTGAAACTCAATCGTGTAGATCGCTGCAACGAATAAATTGTAGTTTTTAAAAGATTAGTTAGCATGATCATCTAGCAATGGTATGTACATTATCTTGCTAAACGAAATAAGATACTTAGTTTAATAAAACATACCGGCTTTTACGACACCTAACACATTTTCTTTGGTGAGCCTGTGCATGAGATCATCTAGTTTCATCTTGAACACTCGCGTACATATATCTGGCCTATCCTCTTGCTTCAAGTTATGTCTTTTTAGGTGCCTGGTAATCTCAGGCCATTTGGGATTACACGTAAAGGTTATGAAAAGATCCGGAAAACCAAAATGCTGGCAAGTAGTCATCGCATCTAGATAATATTGCACCATATACCTTGTACCACCAGTATAAGAAGAAGGTATAATAATACGTTTACCCTTGTCAGAAAGATCAGTGTCACCTTCATCAACAGTTTTCTTTATCTTGTCATAATTTTCACAACGAAGTTTAGGCTGATTCATTGATATGAAACGTAGTCTATTAGTCTCAATTATAGTGTACGCATCCACTAAGAACAGCTGGAACAATCTTTCAGATAAAGGGATGATTGGTGACTCGCCAACCTCTCTTGTATGCGGTAAGCAAAAAACTCTCTCATAGTAATATGCAACCTTTTCCTCCCTTGGGTATCTACAAAACCAATATCGATACCATGTCTGAACCCGTCCTCGCCATAGGGAAACAATAATGGATATTGCAAAGGCAGATACGCAGGATGTAGTTCACTGATCCTTTTGAGATTCCTAGTCTTTTTACACTCGATGATGATATCACGTGCATCTATCTCATGATCGAAATCATTATGTATCAATGCAGCAACTTCATTATTAGCTGGTAGATTCTCAGTCCTTCCATCACTTTTCCTGTCACACTTTAAAATTATTCTTAACCGGCTTGTATCATCGTTAGGATCAAACCTTTCTCGAACGTTTCGTAATGCATCCACATGTTTGTTATGTTTATCTAGCATATTTTTTTATTTTCTCAACAACCTTCTCTCGCAATTTATCAGCCGGTCCCGTTTTCCTATAAATTTTTTAAAATAAATTCTTATAACAGTTAGAACCACATAACATTTAATAACAATACATATATGTTTTAAATTTGATCTCAATGATTAAATTAAATATAAACCAAAAAAATAATAATCATACCCATAAGCAGCTATTCGGTTAGATGTTTCATTTGCGGTATCATATATATATAGCTGTAAAAAGGCTGGTTTTTTTCCAGGAGGTGGTAGCAAATCCCCTATAGAATGGTAGTTCTCCCCACTCATCTGGAAAATGTAAGGACCTTTCCCGTCGTTGATTTCTTTATTTATTTTTCCTCCAAGAGAAGTGAAAGAAAACATCATATTATACGCCCGGATAAACTCACAAAGTGATCACGCAAATCACCATCATTACACATCAATGCTAATAATGAATTTGGAGGGGTTTTAAGAAGTGGAAGAACGACTTTACCCTGACCACAACACATGGAGAATATAGGCTTCCCACGACGATATCGTTTACCCAGCCTCTCTCCATACCACATATAAGCCTTACAATTACCACATATATATATAGGATCACCATCGTCGTAATAACCTGATTAGAATAATATTCATTGCTTAGTATTAATTACACGATAGTTATATATTATGTATTAAATGAGTATATTAGTCCAATGAAAACCATAACCTCCATCTTTTAGACCAGGACTAACTGATTCCAATAAATCTGTTCTATTAACAACGGTCTCGGTTGCATTCTCATCACAAAAATCAGATGATTTAGCACGTTTTTTGGGTCTTCCTTTCTTTTTATTACCAGGCCTCGGTTTTTCCATATCCTCACTTTCCGAGATAGAGTCTTCATCATTATCCCTATCGGACTCAGAATCAGTAGCAATAAAGCAAGCAAACTCTTCGGTGTTGATAGAAGTAGCCAAAAGATCTGTTTGCTTTTTTAACGGAAAAAATATAAAGTGTAAAACATGCATATAATTATTAATCTACATTGTAATTACTAAAAAAGAAGATCAAACCAATAGCTTCTTCTCTTTTTCTCCTCTCACGCATGATATGCATTCTTCTCTGCTGTGCATTACGAATTCCCTGGGGTGTTAGATCAGGAACTTCATTGATATTGTAACGAAACAAACCTCCAAGTTGGTCAATATCGGTTACACTGGTAGGAGCATATCGTGCGTTCTTAGCATTACCACCTACAAATTCCAGTTAATAGTAAGCAAATTTCTAACACGTGAATGTTTTAAAAATGTAATTTACCTAAAATAACACCTTTATTAAGAGCAATCGACGAAGATGAACCTTTTTTCCGAGGACGCCCAAGCTTACGTTTCATTTTTTCTGGTGAATAGCACGAAAAAAAAATGTGTGATCTAAATACACAATCATTAACAAACTATATATAATATTATATTGCGATAATGCAAAATATACATTTTAGCTTCTCATAATAAAATAAGATTTTGGTAATAAAAAGAATTTCGAAATAGAAAACCTCACGATAATGTTAACATTACTTATTCTTCACGATAATATGCCTATCTTCTCTATGCACCATAATACTTCAATATCGAAAAGTTACATTTTTCGTGATAATGTTAGAATACTATTGAAACACTTCTACATTACAATAACGCGGACCTATAAATAATTATTTATTATTCCAAATATGCAGAGTTAATCCTAAAAATATACCTCTACATTACAACAAATATATTATCCTTATATTTTTACGAAAACCGAAAAGACTATCGTTATATTTCTTAGAACTTGAATATTATCCCAAAAAAATATGGTTATTTAACATATCATCTCAATAAATTATATCACATATTTTTGCGTGGACAATTATACTATAATTCGTTACGCATGCGTTTTTGGGGATCCAATTCTATCGTGAGAGTTTCCAACGTTGACAACCTTACCGATTAAATCTGTTTTTTTATAAAAAAAATGAATATCAACTAATCAATATAGTAATTGAATGACAAATCAGTAATGAAAACTACACCGAATACTCACCCACACAGAAGTTAAAATCAATAGTCCCATTCATAATATCTTCGAAAACAACGAACGAAAAATAACCGTTGATATCTAAAGTATAAGAGTTTGCACATGTTGTATCACTGGTAAGTTGGATCATATAAGGATGTGTACTTGGCTTAAATTCACCAGTAAGAGGCAATAGATTAAAATTTATTAGAAGAACCCAATCTCCCTCGTTACATATCCACGAATACTTATCATAAAATTCAATCGGTGCAGTTACATAAATCTTCTGTCCCTGAAAAGTAAAGAATCAAACATTCAAACATTTATCATTACAAAAACTAAAATATAATCATGAAATTTATGTGTTATACCTTCCAATCCCCCATTATAAAGTCTAACGTGAGGTCACATTCAGGAAATCTTTTAAATTGCCGTAAGACTTTCAACTTAGTCTTCCATATATGCTTGGTAGGATCAAGTTCGGAAATTCCAAACAGATTTTGATCATATTTTTTATGTACGGCGATAGATAGGAGATAAGCCATTTAAGTTAAACGCAAACCCAGAGCCTCAAATCAATTACAACGATTACGTCCAAAGGTACCTTAAATAAACATAGCAGAGACAATATTTAAACCAAACTTTTATTTCTTATTTATACAATTTAAAATAAAAGGATATATCGAATATCTTACATTTTTGAGATACCTTAATGCTTAATTTACATTTTTAGGATAACATATACTTTGATAGAAAATTTCATCTCTTGATACATTCATTCCAGTTCGGGATGACAGGGATACCCTTTCCGATTTGTATTAGGGATCTATTATATTATATTATTATAATTATTACAATTTTCCGATTTGTATTAGGAATATATCGGAGGTGAGCCATTTGCATCGTTATATATAAAAACGATGTATTAGCATTACCGAGTTATATATGACGACTACTTTTTAGGTTTTATAAGCACTACATCATGTCGATCGCTGCTTGTCTTTTAGAAATGAAAAACATGACTTACACCAAATGTCTCCGATATAACTCCATCAAATCAACTACGCCGTATTCGTGTGAAAATACTGCGTATTTTCGAGCACATCGGTGAACTTGACAACACTCTAGATTTGGTATTGGTTGATAAAAAGGTATTCCGGTGACTCTATATTTTCCGTGCATATCACTTCTCTGATATACATATTTTTGTTTTTATAGGGTGATTAAATACATGGATCAATATCAAAAGGGTTTATAGACAGTTTTACATCAGAAGTGAAGCAGGGAGATTCAATTATTCTGTATCGTTTTGGTGTAGTTCCTGTCATCGGAGACTTGAGGCTGACGTTGCACAATTATAAAATAATATGGAATTCTCAAACTTATTTTTCAAAGATCCCTTTCTATGATAACAACAACTACCTAAGTATTGTTGAATTTGGTAACATACACAACAATCTCCGAGACCCATTGTTTTTCGTTGGTATGACTTTAGAGAAATTAATAAATAATAACAAAAAATATATGTTATTTTATATCTATAAACTTTCTCAAAGACTAACTAATCTTTTTATTAGATATAATTAGACATGTCACAGTGATTGGAACATTTAGTCACAAATCCTCCAAGAGCCAAAGAAAGTGGGGTGATGTTTACATGGAGCTCCGTAACGAATCGTAAGTTTTTAAAATATGTTTCTCAATTTCAATCACAGTAATTATTAATTTTTACTACATTATATGATTATTATATGTCCAACAGAGACGCTAGGTTGCAAGTGTTATTACGGAACGACTATGCACTGGACCTGATGACTGCTTTATCACGGAAAGAACACAAAATTAACATTTGTGTTATACGATTCGTCCAACTGTTCAAATTTGCATATGGTTGGGCAGCGATAACCGCATACGATTGTACCATAATTTTATTAAACCCTAACCTACCCAAAGTCGAGAGAATGCGGACAACAATCACAGAATCAAACGATGGTGTTATATTAAGTTTTTGAATAGTTTTTTTTCTTTTCGTATGTTTGGTTTTCTTTTTTATTTATGTTTTCATCATTTGATTCAATAAACGATGGTAATATATCAAAACTATGCTTATATTATTCTTTTCGTATACCTTATTTTCTTCCATTTTTAAAATATATGTTTATTATATATATACATATGTATTTTCATAGTAAAATATTATAATACTTTTAAATCAACAACGGTATCAATGAACTATGAATACAATTTTGCATTGAAAACAAAAAGTGACACTCTTTGTAAATCAAAAACAAAACGCTAAAATGAGATGTTTTGCGAAACAGGTGAAATTTATAGATATTGAATAATTTATTTATTACAATAAAAATAAAAAATAGCTATGTTGTTCAAGTACACAACCTATAAAAAACGAAATAAAAAAATAATATCTCCTACGGATACTGATCTTCATATCCATCATCCAAAGGGGTAAAATCAACTGAAGTTTCAAGCCTGGAACAATATGACAATATAATAAAATCATAAAATAAATGTCAATAGAATACATATACAGAATATAACATCAGAGATGGAATTTACATACCTCATCTTTGCTATTGCCACTTCTGGAGTAGGAGGATCCTCGAGAATATCAGATATGAATCTTTCCGATTCAACTATCCACTCATCTAATTACATATACATATTCAGTACGCATGTGAAAACAATAAATTTGTTAAACTTCTGATTAATTGCTGTATTGAATAGATATTAATAGTTAATATTTACGTACCTCTCCACCTATTGAAAGAGAAAAATCGCAATACAATAATATGCCTTGAAGACCTATCACGATTCGTCCAAAGTTCTTCAAATTTTATTGCCAAGTTATCCCAAGCAATACATTTCAAGGAATTTCCACTGTATATATTTACACCAACATAGAAGATAATTAACATATTTTAATATATCAAAAAACCCAAGTCTGACACCAGATATTTTGAGGATAAGTTGTACTTACCCGAGATCTTCGAGTACAAAATGAATAAGGGGACGTTCTGTGGGTGTATCCGATGTATCGGACATATGAACTCCTCTTTGAAGTTTCTGAACAAAAGTGACAATCCCGAGAAGATCAACTGCAAAATTAAACAACTAAGTTAGAAAAAAATCATTTCTCAGTTAATGAAATAAACCAAGATAATAACATGCATGTAAGAAACATACCAAGATATCGGTCTGTTTGAATCGACGCAAGCAAAATATCTATGAATGCACAGAAAGAGTATATTTCTCTGGAAGACTTCGGATCACTTTTCTCAGTGATTGTATCCTCGTTGAAACGTATATGACAGTTGTTTGATGATATACTTGGATGTGGTAATCTGTCGGTAACTGCAAAATTACCAAGAAAATACCACTCTCCTTCGAGCAATACATACTCGAATTTGTCAAGTACTTCAAATGGCATGGTCTACAGGATGCAATTGTCATACACAGTTTTAGTAAAAAAGAATCAATAAACGATTACATTCCCAAAACATGAACATGGATAATCTTTTAAAATCTCATAAACTTACAAATTCATCAGCGAGAACTAACATCCGATTAGGGCAACCAATGAGAGTAAAATCATAATAATTTCTAACTACTTGGACACAAATACGTTGCCCGTTGTTTGTCTTCTGAAGTTCAGAAACTCTATTACATGGAGACATTCATTATTTTTATTTAGTTTGGAGATGAAAGATGAGAAAAATGAATGTTTTTTTTATAAGACGGAGTCAATAAACGGTTATGTTTTAAAACGCAGGTTTAAAATACTTTAGAAACGACAGTTATGCTTTTAAAGGCGGGTTTTATATACTTAAGCAACGATTCGTCAAAACTAACAAAATTAAATGACAATTGGTTCAAATGTGAACTTAAATATATATTTAAGAAACGATTTGTCAAACAGATTTAAAACTCGTACGTGACTGATAAGCGATAACCGTATATTCGATCCATTTTCACATAAAAGTTTATTTTATTATTTTATGATAAGGTAAATTTCCCTTCGGGATTACAACGGATCAAAGGATGTTATATATATTCGTTCGAAAATTTCCAAAAATTGAATATTTAAGGAATATTGTCAAATTTTATTATTAAAAATCTGCAATATATATATATATATATATATATATAAGCTAGGTTTAATCCGTGCGACGAAAGAAAAAAAAACATCAATTAATAAACATTATAAATATAGCATAATTCCAACCCGAAATTCATATTTTACTTTTTCTTATGACTGTAAATTATAAGAGACTTTTGATATAAAAATACAATGTTAAAATAAAACCCTAGTAATTTTATTAATTATAACGGAAACATTTTAGTAATTGTAATATGCCATATAAAAATATAAAATTAAACTAAAACATAAAAATAAATAACATAAAATCCTAATGCTTAACTTATGAAATTTACAAATTGGCTAGTCCCATCGCATGACATGCATCCTTGAAGGTAGGATACACGATACCAACAACAGTCCTAATATCCTCATAAGAGCATGGGCCCTTTATGACAGCCAACAAAATCCTGAGATAATAAGTCTCGCCAGATCCATCCGAACAATCTGCTATAACGCTGACTCCAGGGTCACCAATGACACGTCGTCTCCATAACTTTTGCTTACGATCCCAAACAAATTGACTTGGAATTTCTGAATATGTAAGCATCCTAGCTTCCGGGTATTCTTTGTTGCAGTTCATCCAAGCCGTGAATTTATATATTCCATTAGAACCAAGATTTTCGAGTTCATCAGTCATCACAATCTCGGATTCAGGAAGATGAAAAGGCAACACGTTTGGACGAACACTTCCACGTGTATTTGCACCTACGAAACATAATTAGATCTAAGTTACCAACAAATATAAATAAGAAAGCAGAACTTAATAAACACAAAACGATATCAAGTTGGATGTATAGTATATATCGTACCTGATGAGTTCATTATAGAGGTATAAAGAAAAAGTTCGCAGCAAAGAATGGAGTAAACCACGATATGACACTACATCTATATATAGCCGAGTATTCTAGGGTTTTATTATAATTTTGCCTTTTTTTTATTAGAAATTTGACATTTTGGTTTTATTTCATAAATATACGCACACGTAAATACAACAAAATAAATCTTCTCTAGAATCTTCGAGAATCATTAAAACTGAATATATAATTCATTTGCTACAAATACTGGATACTTATTCATACAAATATTACGATCATAATATATATATATATATCACGATATTTATTTAACTATATCGTGATATATGTACATTTTATTAATTTTGATACTTATAACAAAAAAAAACAGACAGAGTTTAGATTTATATGAATCAGGTCGCAATAAAATCAATTTTCAGAGTTACGACAGTTTGCAGGACGTTATGTAGATGTGTTCAAGGATAAACCTAAATCCCAAAACAACGCTTTAAAAGGTCTTTTGATAATAACCCACTATCATATCGAAAAGTACAATAAACGAATTATCGATATCATAGACAAACGGCATAACAAATCAACTATCGACATAATACCAAACTTGATAACCATAACTAAAACAAATGCGATAAAAAAATGATCTACAGATAGGATGTGAATATGCGATACACGCGACGATTGTAAACATAAAATTGAATATAAATAAATCTTTGTTAAAAAAGGAAGAACAACTATTTATAACGAAATATTAAACTCTTTCAAATTAAATAAAAATTAAGTAAGCATAAAATCTAAATCAATAATATTCTGAATAGAAAAAGGTTCTAACAAAATTCGAATAATAAAAATGTATAAGATAATATAATAGTGACCTCATTATCACTAAACATCCTATGACTTAGAATTCTTCTTCCTTCTAGATCCAGATGTTTTGACAGGAGTAGCAATGACGTCAGGATCCTCACGATCTCTTTTAGAACTCACAGAAGCTGTCTTCTCCATAGAAACATCTGTATTTAGTTTAGCAATGTCATCAGGAGCATCACAGTCACTTTTAGAAGATGCAGGTACAATCTTCTCGATAGAAGCTTCTGCATTTACATTAACACTGACATGAGGATCATCACAATCACTTTTAGAACAGGCAGGCAGAGTTTTCTCGATATGTGCTCCTCTATCTTCACCAACAAAGGTTTCCAAAAGCGGAGGCTTAAAAAAAAAAACATAGCAAATAAACAATCCGTTATGCATAGTTACATATCCAAATATCCAGACAAAATAAGAATCGAAAGCATACCTAAGAATAGACCTGACTACAGAACGTCTGAATCATATAGTCATCAGATGTAATCCGGTCAACCGAAAACAAAGTCTTAACCTTTTTGACATTATCTTCTGTTATAACAACCTTAAAAAGGAACTCTTTTCTTGTTAGATCACGCAGAGATTGAGGCAGTCCAGACGAATTATCCTACAAAATATATTGAAAGTATTTTAATTGAGTTATATAATCATAATGCTTATCAAATAAAACTATAGGTGTACCCCAACAGATTCTTCGAAAACTTCCTCGGCAGTCTTCTTAAACAATTTTTGAGCAATTTTGTCGAACATGACAAAGACTGCCGTCCCTCCAAAACCATCGTCCACCTTCAACAACAGAAAGAAACTATAAAAGAATAATTAGACAATTAGTTTTATAAGTATAAAAAAATATACGACATAATGATTATAAAGGTGTGTGGACGCCGAATCCAAAGAATAGAGATTTGACTACCTAGCAATAACTTCAGACTCAGAAACATTACTATTGCAATTAATGCATCTCCAAGACGGCGGCGAAGGAGCATGGTCTCTCTCGGGGATAGGATGAACCTTTTTTTCACACTTCTTGCATGCTATGTAATACCACGAATTACTATTGGTAACCGAGCGTATGGTCGCCAATGTCACATACTTACCAACCTGCTTATTCGAAACAATCAACGACAACCACCGATATAATCTTTTTTTATAAACAAAAATGACAAAGTATCGCATATTCACATACCGTATCGATCGAATGTATAGAACTTAACTTTCGCCTAATATTAGTTCCCAAAAATTCATCGTTTAATGAATCTTTAGAATCTACACCCCAATCATCTTCGTTAGGAATGAGAATATACTTATCTTGAGGCAACCTTAACGGACAAATACAAAAACTAATTATAGTAGAACGAACATATGTACAAATAAAACCGTACTGTAATTCCATTGAATAGATTCTTACTCAGATCGGAATTTCGCCACCAGAGGACACACTGGATCAAACAAAACCTGAGTTGTATTAAAAGCATTTGAGACGCTCATCTCACCTAAAAAGTGTAAATAAATCGGTGTTTCAGAAATACATATAATTTATGACAAAATTGTTCAGAATCATCGCTAAAATTGAATAAGTATAAATCATTAAATTATATACCTCGATAGTTTTCGATACATGCAAGCCTTATAATAACCACAACGACGGATGCACAATTACGTTTAACGTAATCAGCAACTTCTTTTGCGTAATCAGCCCAAAGAGTACACGGTAATTGTAGATCGCTGTTAAATTAATACATGATCATGAGTTAAATCATATAACTAAAAATAACACAAAATAAAATAAAATATTAAATTAGAACTAAGTATGTTACCTCTCATCTCTAAGATAAATCTTAAGTCTAGAACGACGTTTTCCTTGAGCCATGACGTCCTCAACATGACCAACTCTTACGATTTGTCCGACCACGTCTTAGCGTTTGTAATAAAGTAACACGAAAAAAAAGAACAAAAACAATTAGCCAACAGCTATCTAATGCAAAAAAGTGTTTAATACCGTGTCATAAAAAATGGTAAATAAACTATGCGTCTCAGTTTAGATATGGTACCGATCAAATAGCCATTGTCCAAATCAGTTGATAAAATATCTGGAAAACTTTTCATATATTTCTCGGGAACCTCTTGAGGAAAATCCAAGCATCCAGAGACAGTCGTAGTTGCATAGAACACTATCTTGAAAGGTGTTCGTGTAGTTCGATACTCAGAATTATACTCAACAACCTTAAAAGTATTGATAAGCACCGATCTCCCCTTGACCAAATCTTTACGAAAAGATTTAGCGAAAAATCTTTCAACAGTTGCTTGTATCCTATCACCCTAAGTTCCAAAGGACAATAAAAAAAAAAATTAACCAACAAATAATTGGCTAACCGGGATATTCATAAATTATAGCACTAACCTCTTGATCAACCAAGACCATCTCAAGTGAACACCCCCCTCTGCCTTTGAATCCATCCCAAACATTGAGGATATTAACTTTGATAACAAAGTTATCAGAGCCAGGACGTAAATCCCTAACGAAAACATTAGATGCTGATTTTCTTTTAAAAATCGACATAGCTTAGACCACACGATATTGTAACAAAGAAGAAAAATTGGGAGAAACCAAGACAAATAATGAGTCTCTATATATAGAGTAGGAGACATGATATATATATATATATATGTAAATTAGACTTAATTCAGATATGATTTACTACTATTTAGAATATACATATATCGCAACAAAAGGTAAAGACGATAAAATCTTCTAATTTTCTTTATTTTAAAAATGTTAAAAACGATAAAATCTTCTAATTCTCTGTATAAACAAAAAAATAATACTCAGATAATATAAATTTATATATACTTTAACGGAAAATTAACATAATGAAGTTAAATTCAATTTTAAAAATGGCAAACATTACAGTAGCTGTATATACAAAGTAGAAAATATATTTAATAAATAAGTAATTAGCGATTTAAGTAAACAATTTAAGGAATTCTTCCTAAACGATGTGTTTAAGCTACCAAAAACGATAATACATACCAATAATTAAGCGTAACAATAAATTAGATAAAATGAGATCAATCAAAATATCTTTACAGTTAATCATTTGTATAAATTAGATAAAATGAGATCAATCAAAATATCTTTACAGTTTATCATTTGTATCTCCGTATATAATATTTACAATTCTTAAACAATATATTGCATGAAAGAATAATTATTAGTATAAATATATTGTAACAATCGCGCACATACGCAGAGATATATAAGATAATTCATATGAGAAGAAAATGAAAATAACAAACTAAAAAACTGCAATGTAGTTTTACACGATATAAAAAATGTATAGGCTGGTATTCCAAGATTTATGTATTCGTGAAATGGAAATCAATATTGATCGGTTGACACCAATGCCTCCCGGAGACGTACCACTTCAGGAATAGCTGGTGCCAACATTATCCGTGTGTAATTAGGAGCGGCTACAGCCATCCAATTACCTTATGATCACAAAAAAAAAAAATCAAAATAATTAATAACTTAACAAACACTTTTAATTTTTATCTAGTTATATCTATATTCGAAAAAGTATCATGAATGTCAGCCTTAGAATACCTCGGATGATATCAACTTTTGCAGACAGACCGATACATATTATCATATCATCATCACAATGCGTCAAACCTTCGAGAAAATCTCGACCAAAATTGCCAACCAAATGATATGGTAGACGACATCCTCTAATAATTATAAAATAAAACAATCAGCGGAAAATTGGTTGTAAGTAAGTAGCTTTGAATTCTAAACTGTATGATAGTACACAATACCTCTGATTCTCCAATTCGATATATATCTCGTTCAACATGTAGCTTTCAAAAGGATATTTTGGATCAACGTAGTTTCCAATAGTCATAACACGTCCAATTAGATCTTAACGCAAAAAACATAAAAAGGCAAGTCAACACTATAGCGATTTACAACTTACAAAACAGAATATGTGTCATATCACAAGAACATACATAATACACACATCTTACCCACACAACTGTTAACGACGCAGGATCCATCTATTATATACTCGAACTCGGTAAAAGAAAAGCAACGATATGAGTTATCCATCACAAATACACCGACCGACGTTTACAGTTTACAAAACACCAAAAGAATGAGAAACAACTCTATATATACGCCGAATCATATCTCAAAATATGTATTTATTTTATTTTTTTTTTATAAAATTTAAGCAACGATAAGATTAAGGAAAAGCGAAATAATATTGTGTTATAATTAAACTTTATCATTATAACAAAATTGATATATATATAATTGTTCTAATATCATTTATTATATATTTCTTTTATTAAAATAAGAAATAAGTATGCCACAATAAAGAAACTAAAAAGAAAATATGATAAATAACTACTGTCTTCTGATAATCAAGCAATGAACCCTAATGCATGGTATGCACTTCTAAACGAAGGATACACGACTCCACCAACAGTCCTAATATCATCGAAACTACGTAGACCCCTAACTAGGTCCAATACGAGCCTCATATAATACTCTTCTCCGTACTCTGTCGGCGATTCGTCCACAACACACGCACCAGAATTTCCCTTTAGTCTCGGCCTCCATGTCCTATTTTTACGATCCCATACAAACATAGAAGGAATCTCCGAGTATAAAAGATTCCTCGCCTCTGGATAAGACTGATTACACCTAAACCAAGCAAGGAATTTAGGTTTTCTAGCAAGAACACGTCTATCTAAATTATTAGAAAACGCAATATTTTCCCCAGGGAGATGAAACGGCATAACTTGCCAATTAACACGTGGTCGCCTGTGAGCACCTAGACATGGACAATAGAAAAAAAACCATATATACAATAACAACAAACAATCGAATACCATAAAGAAAACTAACGACTATTGACGTCTCTAAAAACGTAATACAAAACTCATTTACCAAACGCTTCCATCGAAGAACCCAAATGCAAACAATTCTAACAATGCAGACTGGTAACTCGCGAAGTCCCGATAGACGCATATATATACCTATACCGAAATATATGCATATATATAGAGATATAAGAATTATGTGGTTTACGCGTTGTTTATTTTTTTCTAGGGTTTCTTAGAATGTTTTCCTTTATTTACATTTTATACATTTTAACGAATAGACATTTTCACAGAACTTTTTACCTTTCAACTACTGAGTTTTTCCTTTTTAATAAGTAATTAAATAATCAATTATACATCTTGTGTCTGATAAAATAAACACCATGATTTTCATAACTGCTAAATGGAAAAAACTAAAAGTTGTGATATAATCGGGGATATCTTCGAATCCTCTAAAATATTTATAAATTTGAGTTACTTGGAGTCCAAGAATCAATAAAAACACGCGTTATTTATGTGAATATATAACTTATATTATTTTCTCCGCTTTCCATATTTCAATATCAAACAACAATAATAATGACATTAAAAATATATTTATTGATTAAAGTAAAAAGGTCTGAAGAATAAAGAATAATTAAACTATAATTTGTATACATGGTAAATAGTTTTTAAAAATGATATATGCATATCTGAATAAGATGCATCATAACACTATTCAATGTAGAAGTCCCACACTACCACGCGTGCATGGCTTCTTACGCGGATATCTGCAGTGTTATAAAAAAGATTTGAGAGAGAGAAGGCGACCACGAGTTAATACGAAAAAGTCAAATACAATCATTAAGTATTAGAAACTCACTGTTCCAAAAACTCATCTAACTCAAGAATACGGGGATTGAGTTCGAACTTAGTAGGAGAAGTGGAAGATATAGTGATCTTGCCTATTTTTATAAAACACATATAGAGTCAAAACAATAAAACAGAACGAATATAGAGAATATAAATTAGTATACTAAAAATACCTCCAAAATAATCAATAACCGCCCATCTAAGCACACACACAATGATATCTTGATCACAGCGTCTCCAAGATGCATAAAAGTTTTTAGCCATCTCACCGGACAATTCACAACTCAAATCAACACCACTAAATTAAAACACGTCACACATAATCAGTTGGATAGAATAAATAAAACGACAATATACAGTTTAAAACATCCAGCAGACAATACCGTTTATCCCTAAGACAGAATGTGACGGTTGAATATGAACCCCATATCTCGGAATCTCATATATCATTACATGGACTGCCATATGAAGGAACAGAATGCTCTCCAGTCAGTAAACCACACCACGTCCCAGATCGACTTACATTTAAGACCCGACCTATCAAATCTTCATAAACAACAAAAACTAAACCATGTTAACATCAGCAACATAATAATAACGAAATTCAATAACTAAATCGAAAATAAACACACCAACTAAATAGTCATCATCATGGACACGATCCAATATCCTTTGAAAATCAACGAAGTCAAAATAAGCATTTTCACATCTACGTGAAGTCTTGTCAATGATAGTTGATGGTAGGAACAATATTTTGTATCTATGAGAAGTCGGTCTACAACTATCCTCAAAATCGATAACAAAAAAACGACTGATAATAATCCAACTACCAACATCTATGCGAGACGATGCGACACCGATCTCACCATCCCTAACAGTAACCTGAATTTTAACACCCTGTGAATAAAACAGTCAATTAGACACCAACAAAAATTTAGAATATTTTTGTGTAATAGTACAATAAATACCTATTCATCCGACAATATGAGCTCCATGGAAGAACGTTTTGAAATTAGCATATGCATCCACGTCTGTAAAACCTTAACAAAGATAGTACAACCATCTTTGGAAGGACTCAAACGTGACACACACCTTCCAAAACACATTGAACCAAGAGAAACTGTATAAGTACACACCGAATTCTGGTGTCCAGATATACTAATATTCTTTTCGATGAGTATATCACTCAGTTCGACGTCTCGCTGATCTTCACTATCATCGTCAATCTCAGTCTCATCATCCAACATAACATCTTCATCGTCATCTTCATCATCATCAGTTAGATCAGCATCGTCATCATCTTCATCTTCGTCATCATCGCTATCACCTTTTGAGTTATCACTTGAACCATCAGATCCTTCACAAGACTCATCGTCGTCAATAAAATCATCTTCAGAATCGTATTCATCTGTTTGGTCCATATCATCAGTATCATCACGCGTCTCTGAATCAGATCCCATATAATCCTCAAAACCATAATCATCATCAGTACCACGACCAGATAACACCTCGGTATCATCAGAGTCACTATCTTCTGCATAGATAAATATATGAAAAATGGCGTAATTAGTATTCTAAAAAAAAATGGTATTCAAAAAAAAAAAAAACAAAGAATTGAAACCATTAGATTCTTTATTCATAACCCAAGCATTCCTCGCAAAATCCCATAGAAAGGTCTTCTGAGCATGATCGCTTGTATTAACACGATCAGAACCTAAATGCACAAAACAAACATTAGAACAAACATAAATACGTATAAAATTTAATATACATCATTAACAAAAATATATTACATGAAGAGCAGAAATACCTCCTTTGATAAAAAACTTATGATCAAGAATAGATATATAATACGCAGAATCAATATCTACATAAAAATTGAACACGTCCGTAGATTAATATATAATAAAGGTATGTATCTGAAAGACTAAGATATAGCACTACAAAATGTACAAAACTGTAAGATTAATAGGCAGGACTACCTTCGATAACAAGATTATATGTCAGCAAGGTCCATTCGTCGATAGCAGAATTCATAAGTAACTTGCATGAATAACCTACAAATACAAAACAACTACTAATAAGTATTATAACTTGCATGGATAACCTAAAGAGATACAACAACCTTTTTTGTGATATCCACGAAATCGTATGGAGTTACGTAACGATAATCAGTCATCTCTTTGTGATCCATATTCTGACGATGCGATTTCAACACAGACCTTAACCCGCGAGCATAAGCCTGGTTATCAAAACCTAAAGTCGAATAAATTTTTAGAATTTGTTACAAAAGTTGAAAGCATATATTCTATTATTAAATTTGATAATAGTTAGATATATACCAGAAGCAGTAGACGGAACTTCCCAAGTGATGATGACTTTAGATGGATGATCAAAGCTGTACTTAGACGAACACATAGTTAGGTTTGCATGCAAATAGACAAACATGATGAATCTTTTCTAAAGAGACGCAAGAGAAAAACAAAATCAC